TATATATATTATTCTCTTATAATAATTTTTATAAATTAAAATTTTGCGCTAATTATTTTCTTTATTTTTATTTGTACTTTTGATATTAATATTTTATATTTATTTTTTGTGATACTTAATTATTTATTATTGTATGTACTTTTGCTTTTCTTAAAAAATATATTTTAAAACATGCATTATATTCACCATTTTTTTCAAGCATCTCATTTTATTTTATTATTTTTTAATTTTTTTTATACTAGTTTTTTTTATTATTCGAGACTCATTTAAAAGATAAAAAACTACTAAGATTAATTTAGTGACGGAGAAATTGAAATAATATCCATAGAATTTTAAGTTTGAACGTTGATTTTGTTATTATAATTTCAATGAATAAAAATATATTTTGGAGAATAACCGTGTATTTGAAAGCTTATTATACTGAAATGTACATGTATAATTTGTATTGTAGCTCCTAAAATCAGTAATTGTTTATAGATTCTTTTATTTTTGTGATATCATAATACTGACCAGAAGTATTTTCTGACAACTATAATTTCCTTCCTTATTGTATTAAGACTATTTCTCTCATATTATTTTTTTATTAAACTTGAAATTTTAAGACTTGATCCAAGATCAATCACAAATACTAGTTAAATCATCAAATATTAATTATTATTATTTATAAAATACAAAAATTTATAAAGAAAATTATGATATATATTTATATATATTTAAACTTTCAAAATAGTATATATATCAAATTTTGAATGTTATAGTTTTTCTGTAAGTATTGTCTCATAAGAAAAAAAAAATTCAGGATCCGTGACTGATTTAGCCTATTTTTTACGTAGCTTGACTTAACATATTAACGTATTCCTATGTCACTTTATTGAAGCATTCACTGGTCTTGAGTTGTTACGTTTAACTCCTAGTTGAACACAGTTAACAAATGTCATGTGACAGGTCATAATGATTCTAAATCACATGGCATTGAACCCATTATTATTTACACTAGTACAAAAGGGGTCTTTAACGTCAGATATTTTAAGACTTTTATGTTAAAAAAGGCTCCGATATTAATATGGGAGACGTAAATTTACGTTGTCTGGCAAAGACGACTTTACATCGGAGATGTCCTGTACCCGACGTAAAAAAGGGCTTTAAAGGGAGAAAAAAGACGCAAGAATTTACGTCAGACTACACCATGTCCGACGTAAATTTACGTCGGCTATGGTGTAGTCCGATGTAAAATCTGGCCTTTTTTTTAAAATTTTTGTTGTTTTTTGATATACCCAAAATCTGCATATATATAGGTCCAGAATATAAAACCTAAACCAGACAGTCCAGAATAGAAATTCAAATTATATTTCAAAATTGAATGACAAAGAAAATAATATATAAATCTTAAAAAGCATAAATTATGACAATGTAAATCCTATTATCCTAAAAAACTATAAAACATATGTTTGTCAATGTTATCAAACTAGAAACATAATATCTAACTAACTAAACTTAGAGGGTGACTAAACAAATCAAGTCTATTCCTAGAACAAGAGATGTTTAGGTGCAAGATTCAGTTCGGGTTTTCAAAAACGTTTTCCAATTGGATTCAAAAACCAAAAGTCATACAACGGGTGATCAACCCGATATAAGCGTTAAGAGAAGAATCAAACACAAGTGATGAGAATGAAATGCATATATATTTAAGAAGAAGAAGAGTTAGTAGTTACATCCGGACCAATCCTTAATGATTCAACCTCTCATGGCCATTTACAAGATCAAAGGAGTGGAAGAATAAATTACAAAGGAAGAGATGAAGAAAAAGAGTTGATCCTCGTTCCCAAGTGATCCAATCTCCAAATCTTCGTTCCTACTTCGTTCTTTCTTCCTCCTATGCTCCCAGCTCTTGTTTTTCTCTCTATTTTCCCCTCCCCAAAAGTTCCTTCGTTTCCCTTTTATATTAGCTTCAAAACAAGGGAGGAATTGTAATTTTTAAGCCCACCGCTGCAGCTGTAGAATCACAGCTATGGCTGTGGAGAGTTCTTCAAGGTGAAGTAAGCTTCACAGCTACAGTTGTGGTTTCACAGTCATAGCTGTGGAAACTCCTTCAAGTTTAAGGAACCTCCAACGTTGTAGCTGTGAATTTTATAGCTAAATGATATGAACCCAGAGGGATGGATTCGTTTTACGGATCTATCTAGGTTGGAAAGCTCATAATTAAGAAATTAAAAGAAAAAAATATGGATTGAGGTAAGAAATGGAAGAAAATGAATTATTCAGAATTTGGATATTTTTCCAATTGAGAGGATTTTCTCTCTCTAGGTTCTTAGGAACTACTTTTGATTCTTATCCTTGAATTTCCTAATTCAAAGTGGCGAATCTTCCTCAACTTATCAATCTTTAGGGATTGTGGCGTTGTTCTTCCATTTCTTACCTCAATCCATATTTTTTTCTTTTAATTTCTTAATTATGAGCTTTCCAACCTAGATAGATCCGTAAAACGAATCCATCCCTCTGGGTTCATATCATTTGGTATCAGAGCTTCGG